TATTACCTAAAACATTACCAATAGATACATATGTAAAGGCATTTAAAACATACGTAAGGCCAATTATGGAGTATTCCACTGAAAGTTTTAGCCCTAAACTAGAATATCTTAATAGCCAATTAGAAAGACCTCAACGAAGCTTTACAAGGAAAATTTTAAGATATAAATTCAAATACCAAAAAATAGGATATACCGAAAGACTAAAAAGATGTAAACTCCCTCCAACTAAAATCCGTCGCATAAGAACAGATCTTATGACAACCTTCAAAATAATAAATGGTTTCTATAAAATAAAACCAGAACAAATGTTCTCTAAACCAAATAGAAATAATCTGCGCTTGCATAGATATCAAATATTTAAAAAACAAACTAAGAATAATCATTTCTTTTCACATAGAGTCATAGATAGATGGAATAAACTTCCAAAAAATGAAATTGAAAAAATTAGTACTATTCCTCAATTTAAAAAATTTATAGACAATATATTAATCACAGAAGACCCTAATTTATGAGTAACGAATTAATGGAGTGTAAAATAACAAAATCCTAGCCTAAATGTTCACTTTCTTTTTAACATACTTACCTTTTAAATAAAATTAATTTTGGTACAAATATTTTTTTTACTTAAATTATACCTACATACATATATATTTTTTGATATTCGCTTTTATTTATTTTTTTTACATTTTTTTTTTCTTGTGGAGTCCATTTATATATATACTTTTTTTTAATTTAACATTTTAACTGTAAAATTGTAATTGATTTTTATTGTAAGTTACCTCTCCATAAGTGATCCTTGTGGATCCAGGAGTTTTATTTTATTGTTTCACATTCATTTATTTGTGTTCGATAAAGAAAAAAAAAAAAAGATTCTGCTCTATCAGAGTCTATTTAAATTTTCATTCTTACTCATCAATTTTGAAAAGAAAAATCAAAAAGAATTTGCCTCGTTTCAAAAATACACGTTTTAGTATTTTACCTCTAACTCCGGCCAACCTAATCCTAGGATTCTGATTTTTTGCCAGAAAATAGGCAACTCTCTTAGGATCATAGAAAAATATAATTCGAAGTCTGAAAAGATCTAGTTTAATTTTAATAAATATTTATTTAACTTTGCTCAAGGGGGGCTAATTATTTATGACACAACCTAAGTAGATAAAAAAATAAAATATTAAAAAATAAAAGTAATATATATTTATAAAAACATTATATACATACAGAAACATTTTAATAATATAATACCAACAATAATGTACATATACTTTAACAATATTTCCATCCTCTTCATCTTTTCAATTTTTAAAACAAAATCCTTATCCTCCTTTTGTTTCTTCTCTTGTTTTTCTTCTTCTCTTTGTGTTTTATCAACCATTAAACTATTACTAGTTCCCTCACTAACAATTTCAACTTCCTCAGAATTTTCATTATCACTACTTGTTTCTTCATCTTCTTGTGTTTTATCAACATCCAAACCTTCATCTTCAGCTACAATAACTACTGGATTTATACTTAAATCGCTTTTGAATTCGTCTTCTGTTTGTCTTTTTTATTGAGGTAAATTAAATAATAACCAACTGCAAAACAAATTAATAGACTAAAAATATAGGAAAATTTATTTTTATTTTAAATATGTACAAGAAGGGAACACCATGATCTACCACAACCCTTAACTATGGTTATGGATCTAGACAATTTTGGAATTATTCTACTTATCTACTAATAGCTATGTCGACTCCACTAGCTACCCCAAACTAAGTCGGATGGTACGAAATAGCCATGATTAGACATCTGACTGGGAATGTCATAAAAGAATGAGACAAAACATCAAAATAAACACAACTTACATAAGTATAGCAAACATAATTATCGCATCAATTATTCCATCTTTTCTCTTTCGTTTGCTTCAGTTGGAAATATAAGCACTGGTATTGTTGCTTTAGTTTTATTTGAAGTTGTTAATTGATTTGTAGTCGTTACTAAATTTTCGGAAAGGTGTAAAGTTTTTGTTGATGTTGTTTCTGTAATTGTTGAATTGTTGTTAAAAGAAGGTGGTAATTTTGTTGTAGAATAATTAATTGATGTTGTTGTTTTTTGTAAATTTTTTCCGAGGTTTATACTGTGTTGTTAAAATTTTATATTTTTCAACAGACTAAAAAATAAAAATTCAAAAAAGAATTGCAGTCAATCTCTATAAAATTACATCCTTAGTTTAAAAATTGTACCTTATTATGCAAACTGAATTGAGTGGTATCGCTTAGAGATTGGGGTATTTTATAGTGGGATTTGACCATATTAAGTTAAAAACTAAACTTACAAATTCAATTGCAAAGGAACATTTTCGGATATCCATCTTCTCTTCTTCATTAATTGTCCCATTTCTTGTGCAAGAATGGAACATATAATTGGGCAATAAATGTAAAACAATTAATCGTTTGCCAATTAAACTTTTATCGCTATTATCTCCAACATTTACATATAATTTTCCAAGCCTTTACTTTAATTAATTCTTTTTTATGTTTAAATGTCTTGAAAGGTGAATAACAATAGGTGGAGTTTCCTTCTTCAATTAGACGAGGAAACATGTTCATAAAAAATTGAGTTTAATAGACTTGTGAGAGAGCTGATATTTCTTTTGAAACATATAGAAGAATATGAACAACTGACAGCATTAAATTTATAAATTAACTTTGAAGCAATTTTAGAATTTACCTAGAAATGATCCAACAAACAATCTATCACCACCAGACCTGGGCGAAACTCAAAATTTTTTTCTGACGAAACGAAACGAAACAAAATTTTTTAAAAATCGTTTCGTTAACGAAACGAAACGAAACAACCAAAATCTTACGAAACGAAACGAAACAAAACGAAACATTTTAATATTCAAAAAATTTTCAAAACTGCATTTATTTCGCAATTATTCGACCTCAAATACTTTATTAGTCGCCTATGCCTTATAAATTAGAGCCCGGACGGAGGGCTCGGTCGATATTTTTTTGATAAATACCGAAAAATACCGAATATCGAAAAATATCGAAAAAATCAAAATTTTCTCGGTCGATATTTTTTCGATAATATCGAAAAATATATATCGAAAAATATCGAAAAAATATCGTATCGAGCCGGGCTCTATTATAAATGATTTAGTTATTGGTTTATTTACAACAATTGTGTCCCATAAGCCAGGCCCGTAGCAAGGAAAATTTTCGGGGAAGGGGGGGGGGTCAATCATTTTCGAAGCCGAATTTTTGGCGACGCTTTTTTTCAAATAAGATTGAATATTTTTCAAGTAAAATTTTATTTTAAGCGCCGCAGACGAAAAATTTTAAAATTTTGAAAGGCCGTAGGCCAAAAAATTCACTAGCTTGCTCCATTGCCTACCCAAATTGTCTCCATATCTCCATTTCGAGAGGAAGGCGATATAAGCTAGTGCTTCGCCGGAAGTTCCGGTTCCAGTATTTCCGCAACTCGCAATCCGCAATTTTTAAATTATGATGCGAGTCCGGTAATAGAATTTGTCGTCTATTAAGTAATATGTATATGTGGATTAGGGAGTAGAGTATAAACGGATTTGTAGTATATAAGTAATTGATATCTTCCTTTTTCAGCGCCGCAGGCGAAAATTTTGACAATTTGGGAAGGCCAAGAAGCCGAAATTCTTCTTTTTTCAGCGCCGCAGGCGAAAATTTTTTAAATTTTCAATAAAAGATGGTAAATTTTATAGATTTTGGCCTTAGTTTAGGCTTAAAAAATTGTTTCGTTTCGTTGAAAAATCACAGGTGTTTCGTAACGAAACGAAACGAAACAAATTTAAAAGTGTTTCGTAACGAAACGAGACGAAACAGTAAAAATCATACGAAACATACGAAACAACGAAACGAAACGAAACGTTTCGCCCACGTCTGATCACCACTAATACAACTTCCTATTTGATATACACCCATCGGCAAATCATTATCGGTAAAGGAAAGACTCAGACTAAAATAAAATATTTTTATAAGAATATGTATATTAATTGACATACATTTTAGTCTTCATTACTTCTAAATCAAAAGAACAATTCTTTAAACAATCAGATAACGAATTTCAACCATTATACAATACTACTGTGAATACAGCAGTAAGTGAAGTATCGAAAAAGTTTAAAATATCCGAATCTTCAACAAAGTCCACAGTACAACCTCCACGTTTTTGAAAGTACACAATTCTGAAAATATTTTTAAAAATTGTTATGTGTAGAAAAGTATTTAATTTATATATGGTCGTAGTCAATTTCTAAATGACATGATCCTCTTTTTGATAGAGAGTTGTAGTCATACAAGCCTCTTCTTCAGCAATCCTCGAACCATCACTCAGAATCACATTATCACCCTCCAATTTGTGTTTGCCCCGTCCAACTTCAATTATTCTAGTAGTAGATTCAACAAGATTTAACAATCCGACAGAATAAATGACAAAAACAAAAGTAGCAAAAAGCATTGAAACAGTTTTTGAGGAAGACATGTTTTGATTGTTTAGATGAACAAACAACAAAAACAATGAGCTTTTATATAATACCATTCTCAGAACTTTAATTTAAATACCTAAATTTTTCAAAATTTCTTTTCGAATTTATTTGATTTTTCAGAAAGTCTGTATTTCTGCTTTCTGACTCTCCCCTTTAATTTATTTTCCGGAAAGTTTTCATTTCTAGTCCTATTTAATGGGATTCCTCCCAATTTTCTATTTTTTCGGAAATGCTTTAAATTTTTCTTTTATACAACAAAACACAATACAAGCAAAACCAAATATGTACAATTACAACTCATATACAAAAGTACATAATATCTTAGGTCTATATACATATTTATCTATTTGCCTCATACATATTATTTGCTCTTCATTTCAATTACAAAGGAGTGTTGGAACTAGACACTGCACCGCCGCCAACATATTCAGAAATCTGATCACTGAAATAAGAAATTTGAACAAATTAATTAGACAATTAACAGTTAATTCTCTTACCTTCGATTCTCACGCTGAACACCCGGTACAACGCCATATTCGTTCGTAGTCGGAACAAGAGAACTAAAAAAGTTCAAAATATACATATTTTTAAACTAAAGTGTTATTAAACAGACCTTTTCCAAACTTCCAAAATTCTCTCCATTTCAGCAATGTCCGAAGCTTTTGGGGTGTCTCCACTCACAATCACCGCACGGATCCTATCAGCGAATTTATAACGTGCAATTTCCCTCTCCTTCTCTCTGATGATTTGTTCAGCGGATCGAAGTTTGAGCTCAGATGCCCTCATTTCTTTACAGACATCAGATACCGTATCAGCGACCTTGGATTTATCAACACTCGGCTCCACCACAAGAAGCGAATTCTCATAATCTTAAATTAAAACAATAAGTTTAGAGGTAAGAAGTGTAACGAAAAAGTGTTACCTCCTTGCTTCTGCATGCTGCAAAATAGGGCAACAACACACAGTAGACGGGCAAAAGATTTAAGCGGGCAAAACTTGTTTGTTGAGAACTGCGGGTAGAAAGTCACAAAAACATGGGTTTTTATACACTAAAATTATGCTAGAACTTTGCTAGTTCAAAAGCGATTTAAGTATAAATCCAGTAGTTATTGTAGCTGAAGATGAAGGTTTGGATGTTGATAAAACACAAGAAGATGAAGAAACAAGTAGTGATAATGAAAATTCTGAGGAAGTTGAAATTGTTAGTGAGGGAACTAGTAATAGTTTAATGGTTGATAAAACACAAAGAGAAGAAGAAGAAAAAGGAGGATGTTGAATAAAATTGGATTTGAAATAAGTATATTGGGAAATTTAAAGAGATTAAGGTGGATATACATAGATAGATTTGAGTGTTTTCTCTTGGTTCCCTTCCCCGACAGTGGCCTAGTTCATCACAAGGATGACTATGCTTATGGAAATGAAATCGTATTAGACGATTTTGACATTATTCGGCATGTCTCTAAAAATATCGTTTCTCAATGACTATTTTTGCACAAAATTTTGTCTGTCCGATATTTTGTCCTGATACTAGTCTTGCAGTAGACCTACAAAACATAAAAAAACACAACTTACATAAGTATAGCAAACATAATTATCGCATCAATTATTCCATCCTTTTCTTTTTCGTTTGGTTCTGGCGGAAATATGAGCACTGGTATTGTTGTTTTGGTTTTATTAGTTTTTAATGTAGTTGTTAAGGTAGTAACGTAAAGCAAAGCAAAGCTTCTATCTGGCCCAGCAAAAAGTCTAATTTTTTCATTAGCTAATAACCAAGTTTTTTGTATTATTTCTGATTGCTACATTTAAATTAATTAAAAATTAATCTAAAAAAATCCTTTAATTCACCTCAAAATTTAAAATATTAATTTCAATATTCGAGGAAAATAAACGATTATTTAAATTAATTAATCCAAAAACATTTCCAACACTTCCCAAACGTTGTTGTGAATGGTGATTGGGAGAACATTTTATATTTGATTGTAAAGGTTTCAAATCAAATAAAAAATTATTGTCCTTTTTTAATTAAATTAAAAGTTAAATTTTATTTTATTTAAATTAATTAACTGTGTATTTATTATCTAATGATTTGGCAAGTGTTCTTTCTGAGAATGATGACTAAAAAATTAATTTAATTAATTAATTAATTAAGGAAAAAATTTTAAAAATTAATTTTAAATAAAGAAATTGGTATATACTCTGGAGTTAGATTTATTGACCTGTGCCGGATCCTGGGCCTGTAGTTCAAGAAAAACCCAGGCCCAGGAAAAACCCAGGAAAGTTAAAAAATGCCTGGACCTGGACTCTGGGTACAGGAAAAATTCAGGCCTTGGTCCAGCTCGATCTGTATTCTCTACTCAATGGCTGACTTATTTTAAAAAGGTACCTTAACTTAAGGGTTTATGAAAGGTTGGGTGTACGTTGTACTAAAGTTTGTATCAGGGATCGCGCCGTCCTGATTCCCGAAATTGTGAAAGGGTGTGTGTGCCACTAATCCATAGCTAATTTGTATTTTTCGGAAAAAATCAAAGAGAAATATATATTTAATAAATAGCATACTTTTTTGGCATTTTGTGAAGAATTATCAGAACCGCTAGTCGTTTGGCCTTTAAAATGTTTCAATTTAATTTTAGAAATATATAAATAATATTTTTTTAAAACTCACCCCTTTCAAGACGTTTTTTGGCAGCTATTTTGCGTGAATCAACTTTTTGGGCTTTATGCTAAAAATAATTATTTAATTATTTAATTTAATTAAAATTTACTTTAAAATATAAAGGGATTGCTGCAAAACATTCCCCTTCTCCTTTTTGATTATTTAAAGAATTAATTTCTAAATTAATTTCTGTATTTTGTTGAATATCAGAATTGTTCTGAAATTTAATTTAAATTTTTTTTAATTTTTCAAAAAAATATTTTTTTACTTTTTTTTCCTCATTAATTTCCTTTTCCTGATTAACTCCATTTATTTCAATTTGTGGAAGTGAGGAAGTATTTTTATTATTTTTAATTATTTTATTTTCTTCTTTGAAGGAATTGAACTTTAAAAAAACGAAACATTTGTTCAAAAAAATATTAAAAAAATGTTTACTTGTTCACAAATTTCTATAGATTGATGGGCACTTTGAGTGAATGAACGATAATTATTATTCTTTTAATAAATTTATTTCGAAAATTTATTTATTTATTCAATACCTTTATTTTAATTGAATTAATTACTTCATTCCCTGTCGATTGACGTCGTAAACCCAAAATTTCTGTCATTTTAAATCGAGTAGATTTTCCGGATTTTTGGATTGACTAAATAAATAAATATTAGAGAGCGAGATTTTCAAAAACCTTGATTCCGGTTGGGTACCTTGACCAGATTCTTAATCTTGAGTCAAGGAAAAATCAAGGAACTCTAAAAAATGCCTTAATCTGGACTCTGGAAGTATTTCCTTGAATAATTTTCCTGGGTGTCTCAACCTCTCGCTGGAGAGGGTATTAATCGCGGGAGAGAGAGAGTGATTATTCGAGTTTTGAATTTGTAGGGCATTTGAAAGAGGGTGGTATTTTTTTCAACTTCACACTCGAGGGGGTAACTAATAGAGAGTGGGAGGCTAATTAATAAAGCCTAAGGAGGCTAATTAATAAAAAAACTGTTATAAATTTTTTCTAATATTTTAAATTTAAACAAATTTATTAATTTACATTCGATGCGCTTGTATTTATTGCTGGGCTAGAATAATTCCCTCCACCATTTGGATGAGTATTTCCCATTTTTTAAAAATATTAAAAATTAAACTAAAAATTTTTAAAAATTAATTTAAAATTATTTTCACAAAAAATATGTAAATAAAAAAATATTTTTTGTTTCTGTCATTTAATATTTTAAACAAAACAAAAATTCAAATTGACAACAAAAAATCTCAAATTTAATTAATTAACAAAAAAAGAGAAGAACATTTTTATTTTTTTAAGATTTGTGGAAAAAGAAGAAGCATTAATTATAAAAACTTGAGAGACAAGCAAAGCTTTTAAAAATAAAAATGTTTGTGTGTGTGTGTGATTCTTGGCCAAAAAAGGAGAAAATAGATAAATATTAAAATTTAATTGGAATTGGCATGAAAATATTAAAAAGAAAGGAGGAAAGATTAAATAAATATAAAGTTTTTGTTGAATATTGACAACAAAAAATAAAGAAAAAATAATATTTTTTATAAATAAATTTAAAAAAATATAAATAATAATTCTGAAAGTGTCAAGCTTTCTTCTTTGATGCTTTTTTTATTTTCTAGAATTTCAATCAAAAATTTTTAAATTTTAAAATAAATATTTTAAGCTTGTGATATAGAATTTTTAGTAAAAACCAAGTTCCCGAGGCAGCCCCCACAGAACTTTATATGCGCCTTATAAAGTATCTGAGACAATGTTTAACTTTTAGGGACCGCCTGACAAAACTGTGGCCTCTAGAATTTTTGAAAAATTAGAAGACAAAACTCAAAACTATTTTATATTTAAATTTATACATAATTAAATAATTAAATAAAATTATTTTACCAAATTTTATTAAAAACAAACAAAATATTAAAAATATTTTTTTAAAAGTTAAAACACAAAAATAAATAACAATTAATTTTAACAATTTAATAAATAAAAAATATTTTTTGGTTTCAAGTAAAAAATTTTTTAAAGAAACAATTGGTTGATATAAATTAAAAAGAAACATATGGTGGTTTAAAATAAAATTTTTTTATTTTTAATGAAAGAAAAGAATTGAAATTTTCGTTCCTTTAAAAGAACAAAGAATGTGTTAATTAATTAAAATTATTTTAAATTTAAATAGATTTTTAATTAATTGGGAAAATTTTAAAAAAATGTAAAAAAATCATTTAAAAGTTAAAAACACAAAGAAATATTTGAAAGAAATATTTATTTAAATTTTTAAGAAAAAAATCATTTTTTCTATTTTTGTACAAACTCAATTTTAGGAATTTATTTTATTATAATGTATCCTTTTTGAATTTAAAGAAGAATAAACCTTTTTAAAAATCTTAAAAAGCAAGACTAAATAATAAAAAAAAGAGGTTATAAATTGAGAAGAAAATAGTAGTAAAGTTTAAAAATTATATTTAAAAAAAAATAAAATTTGAATTAAAGATAAAATAAAACGGTACTTTATGGATATAACACCCCTCGCCCTATTCTGCGTAACACAAGTTTCTTTAATATGTGCATTAGATTTTTAAATTATTTTATATTTGGTGGGACACGCAAGTAGGCACGCGGCCATAACGGTGCAAATCCATAACTTGCTGGAAAATTTCTGGCCCTTATCAATTTTGGTTCCAATCTTTTTAGCTCGATGAGAGGAATCGTTTAATACTAAATTTGATAGATCCGGAAAGCTTGAAGCAAGTTATGGCTTTGCGCCGTTACTCGGGATGTACCCATACTTGGTGACATTGCAATAAATATTTCTTTTATTAATGCCTTCCATTTGATGGTCATGATCAGAGCGAGTTTTTTTAGGTTTTTCTCTATTTTTTTGCGAACTAGTTTTGATGAGATATGCACGAAAAACACTGTTTTGGGTCGAAATAATGAGTCTATATTGGACCTATTCGAACCTAAAAAACCTATTTCGGCCTTTTCGGACCTAAAACCTATTTGCAACCTATTTTGACCTTTTTTGGACCTATTTTAGGTTTTTTGATAAAAATCTTAAAAATTGCCTTTATTTTCGCAAATATTTGAGATTTAAGTCATTTTTTCACTAAATTTTTGGGTTTTTTTATAAAAAAAATTTTAATTTTGATATTTAATTATTTTTTTAACCAATTATCGGTAAAAATTGCTTTGAGGACAAAGACTCCGATTTATACCGTTATTTATGTTATTCAAAATAGCTCTCAAAGGCGTGACTAGTTCGAAAGAGCTCGCCGAGCTGAGTCGAATAACACCAAAATCAAAGCGATCTGACTTCATAGGGCCGAGTTACATGGACCCAAATATCGAACAACCATACGGGGAAAAGATTTAAATATAGAAGTTGAGGAAGGTGAAAAATTCGTGAGGTGAAAAATTGAGGTGAAAAATTCGATTTTTTGAATGATAGCTCATTTGAAAGAGCTACTCAATCTGAGTTGATTGACACCAAAATCAGTGCAATCTGACTTGATAGGGCCGAATTACGGGCCGTGAAAATTGAAATACCATAAATTGAAAACACAAAATCGAAAAAACTCTAACAATACAAACCTATTTGTTAAAAATTCGTACCTATTTTGCCACTTTTTGCATTTTTTTCAACTATTTAAGCCTTTTTTTCGAACCTTTTAGGTACCTATTATCAGGTTTTTTGAACCTAAAAAAACTCGCTCTGGTCATGATTAAAGATTAGCCTGTTAGAATTGAGTTTGATATCTCAAAAATAAATTGAAGATTGAGTGCAATAAAAAACTCACACTTTCGAAACCTCACCAAACGAACCCTCCCCAAACTCCCCAAACGAAAATTCCCCAAACGCCATCTCCAACCACCCACCCTCGATTCTCAGGCTGAACATTCGGGGTACCATGCCACACTCATTGTTATCAGGAACAACACTACTTATTAAACTAAAGAGTGTTATTAAATAGACCTTTTCCATCCTTCTAGAATTCTCTCCATTTCTGCAATATCCGAAGCGTTCGGGTTGTTTCCAGCAATCAACAGCGTCCGGATATAATCCGCTAATTTTAATTTGCAATTTTCCTTTCCTTCTCGCGAATAAGCTGCTCAGCCGACTTAAGTTTGATTTCTGAGGCCCTCATTTCCTTGCACACCTCAGAAACTGTATTCGCAACTTTATTGTTAGATTTATCAGCACTTACTAGTTCCCTCACTAACAATTTCAATTCCCCAGAATTTTCATTATCACTACTTGTTTCTTCATCTTCTTGTGTCTTATCAACATCCAAACCTTCATCTTCAGCTACAATAACTACTGGATTTATACTTAAATCGCTTTTGAATTCGTCTTCTGGTTTGTCTTTTTTATTGAGGTAAATTAAATAATAACCAATTGCAACACAAATTAATAGACTAAAATGAAAAATAAATTATTTTTATTTTAAATATGTCCAAGAAAGAAACACAACTATCTACGCAACCCTTAACTATGGCTATGGATCTAGACAATTTTGGAATTATTCTATTTATCTAATACTAGCTACTTCGAATCTACGAATCTACTAGCTATCCCAAGTTACGTCGGATGGTACGAAATAGCCGTGATCTGACCGGAAATGTCATATGAGAATCGAGATCTAACTCGGTTCGATCTCTAGTCATGATATGACACTTCCTCGATAAATTAGGAAAACAAACATCAAACTAAACACAACTTACATAAGTATAGCAAACATAATTAGCGCATCAATTATTCCATCTTTTTCTCTTTTGTTTGGTTCTGGCGGAAATATAAGCATTGGTATTGTTGCTTTGGTTTTATTTAAAGTTTCTAATTTTGTTGCTGTTGTTACTAAAGTAGTGTTTTCAGAAATGTTTAAAGATTTTGTTGATATTGTTTCTGTAATTGTTGAATTGTTTTCTGGATTTAATGTTGTAGTAAATGTTTTGTTTTCGAAAGGTGATAATTTTGTTGTAGAATAATTAATTGATGTTGTTTTTGTAAAGTTTTTCCAAGGATTTTGTGTTACTAATAGTTTATATTTTTTAGCAGACTAAAAAATAAATATTTTAAAAAGAACTGAAGTCGGACCCCAATATAAAATATTCAGCTGTAGCTAATCCCCAATTCAGTGGGCAACCAAATTTAAAAAAAATATTTTTAATTGATTTATCTAGAAGAGAGATAGCAGAAGGGAAAGGGGTTAGATTTGACTATATTAAGTTAAAAATTAAACTTACAAATTTAATTATAAAGGAACATTTTGGCATAATTATAGCCTCTTCTTCGTTAATTGTCCCATTTGTTGTGTAAGAAGAAAATATATAATCAGGTGTCAAATCTTTCAGATTTGAAAATATATTTTTTATTTATTAACCTTTGGCCGAAATTTTGTCCATATATTTTTGTCCTTATTTTTAAGCCCGCTCAAAAAAAAATGTTAATTATGGCGGGCCAAAAGGCCTTTTTTTGAACCTTGCATCCCTGCTCTTTTTTCTCCCCATTCTTTTAAATCTCTAGCCTGCTCAATTTAACTAGGAAAAGCTCCTTTGTATTTTTTGTGTATTTTGATCCTGTCTGAAAAATGTCCTTTCTCTTCCCTTTCGTTCTATCTTTGCAACCCTTTGCACGGGTTATTTTGGCCAACTAATTTTGAATGAAAAATGTGCAAACACCTCCCTCTTTTTGCACATCTCTTTACCCGAATATAAAAATGAAAATATGAGCAGATTGGTTCAGTTTATGAACTAAAATATTCCTCTCCCCGATTAAAGTTAAAGTAAAAGTTTCTGAACTATTCCTTTCCCCCGATTTAACTTAGAGTTTTTGAACTTACTTTACACATTCCTTCCAGCCAGTTATTTCTTCCCGTTAAAGTTAAAAAGGTTTTTGAACTGTTTTATGAAATTTGAAATTCCTTCCTCCCGTTAAAAGAGATTTTTTCTGTTTTGTTTCTCCTTCTACCCGTTTTATAAAGATAATTGATAGTATTTTGATTTATACAATATTTTGGTAATTCTGATTATTTGTGAGGAAATAAACTGATTAAAGTTATTTGTTTGATATATTGAGAATTAGAAATTTTATTTGAATGTTTTACTTAGGCTTTTCCCCTCCCTTTATTAAAATTCTTTTTAGAATTTTACACAGGCAATAAATGTAAAACAATTAATCGTTTGCCAATTAAACTTTCATCGCTATTATCTCCAACATTTATAATTTTCCAAGCCTTTACTTTAATTAATTCTTTTGCACATTGAGGTTTGTCTAAAGGTGTTAAACAATTGGTTGAATTTTGATCATCTCTTTTTAGAAGAGGAAATGTATTCATACATATTAAACTCGAGTTTAATAAAGTTTTCTCGCGAATAAGCTGCTCAGCGGTCTAAGTTTAATTTCAGAGACTCTCTCTTCCTACAGACATCAGAAACTGTGTAAATGCCAAGAATTTTCTATCTACTTTCCGGAAAACATAAATATGTAAGAAATACGTAACTTATAAAAATATTCACAGAAAATACATAACTAAATTATTTTTTAATGAATAAAAAAATTAAGCAAGTGAAGAGACCTTTCCTTGAAAGAAATTTACTTATTGAATGCTTTCCGGAAAACACAGAAAAATACTTTAAAAACAAATTAAACATTGAAGAGAGATATTTTGCGGAAAAACTTATCTAGAAAGAAAATACCTGTCAAGAAAGGTACTTTCTGGAAGTTTGAAAAGCAAAGGAATGTTTAAAAAATGTTAAAACTACTAAATAAGTATTTTACAGTTTTCTTGGATCAAACTGCTTGTTTCGTCCATAATTTTGTAAAAATTATTAGATGGAGAAAAAAAATATTTAAAAAATTCAAATGTAAATTTTTTTTATTTTGCTAAATAAATAATGGGTTTCGCAAATTTCTCTCGGTTTCGCAAATTTATAATTTGCAATTTCCCTTCATTTTTTTGCGAATAACCTGCCCAGCAGTCTAAATTTAATTTCAGAGGCTCTCTCTCCTTGCAAACATCAGAAACTGTATCCGCCAGTTTAGATTTACTGCAGACGGCACATTCACTACACTGCGTTTCAAAAAGATGGCACATCACGTTTTTTCGACATAACTCAGCGGAAGAGTGTCTATTTCGTTTAAAAATTTTTTTGTAATTAGGTTTGACCAATAAAATGCTATTAAACAGACCCGAGCGAAAAAACCATTTTTCAAAAATTTTTTATAAAATAATATTCAATTTTTCACTGTTTCAAAAAGATGGCACATGTCAAATTTTCGACATTAGGAGTGGTCTGAAAAATCTACAAAAATTCCTATAAACATATCTATTGATGTCAATAGAAAATACAAAAGAAACGAAGTTCTAATATATTTCCTTCATCGAGTTCTGAAAACCCGGAAATCAACTGAAAACAAGGGGTAAACGTCTTTAAAAAATATTTTCGACCCCTTATAGACTAAAGTAAATTTTTATTTTATACTTTTCTGAAAGCCCTTTAAATTTACTATAAGAATCACTTATTGCTAATAAATCGAAAAATTTTACTTGCGAGATATTCAGGGTTAAATTCAATATACATGAAAATCATTAAATTTACCCCTTTCTTAGCGCCTTAAAAATTTAATAAAGTACAACTTGATGAAAAAAATTTTCTGTAAAATAAAAATTGCAGGTATTATAGTAAATTTAAAGGGCTTTCAGAAAAGTATAAAATAAAAATTTACTTTAGTCTATAAGGGGTCGAAAATATTTTTTAAAGACGTTTACCCCTTGTTTTCAGTTGATTTCCGGGTTTTCAGAACTCGATGAAGGAAATATATTAGAACTTCGTTTCTTTTGTATTTTCTATTGACATCAATAGATATGTTTATAGGAATTTTTGTAGATTTTTCAGACCACTCCTAATGTCGAAAATTTGACATGTGCCATCTTTTTGAAACAGTGAAAAATTGAATATTATTTTATAAAAAATTTTTGAAAAATGGTTTTTTCGCTCGGGTCTGTTTAATAGCATTTTATTGGTCAAACCTAATTACAAAAAAATTTTTAAACGAAATAGACACTCTTCCGCTGAGTTATGTCGAAAAAACGTGATGTGCCATCTTTTTGAAACGCAGTGTATAACAAGTGAATTCCTCTTCATTCTTTTCAATTTTTAAAACAAAATCCTTATCCTCCTTTTGTTTCTTCTTTTTCTTCTTCTTCTTCTTCTCTTTGTGTTTTATCAACCATTAAACTATTACTAGTTCCCTCACTAACAATTTCAACTTCCTCAGAATTTTCATTATCACTACTTGTTTCTTCATCTTCTTGTGTTTTATCAACATCCAAACCTTCATCTTCAGCTACAATAACTACTGGATTTATACTTAAATCGCTTTTGAACTAGCAAAGTTCTAGCATAATTTTAGTGTATAAAAACCCATGTTTTTGTGACTTTCTACCCGCAGTTCTCAACAAACAAGTTTTGCCCGCTTAAATCTTTTGCCCGTCTACTGTGTGTTGTTGCCCTATTTTGCAGCATGCAGAAGCAAGGAGGTAACACTTTTTCGTTACACTTCTTACCTCTAAACTTATTGTTTTAATTTAAGATTATGAGAATTCGCTTCTTGTGGTGGAGCCGAGTGTTGATAAATCCAAGGTCGCTGATACGGTATCTGATGTCTGTAAAGAAATGAGGGCATCTGAGCTCAAACTTCGATCCGCTGAACAAATCATCAGAGAGAAGGAGAGGGAAATTGCACGTTATAAATTCGCTGATAGGATCCGTGCGGTGATTGTGAGTGGAGACACCCCAAAAGCTTCGGACATTGCTGAAATGGAGAGAATTTTGGAAGTTTGGAAAAGGTCTGTTTAATAACACTTTAGTTTAAAAATATGTATATTTTGAACTTTTTTAGTTCTCTTGTTCCGACTACGAATGAATATGGTATGGTACCTAATGTTCAGCGCGGGGATCGAAGGTAAGAGAATTAACTGTTAACTGTCTAATTAATTTATTCAAATTTCTTATTTCAGTGATCAGATTTCTGAATATGTCGGCAGCGGTGCAGTGGCTAGTTCCAACACTCCTTTGTAATTGAAATGAAGAGCGAATAATATGTATGAGGTAAATAGATAAATATGTAGATCTAATAGTTAATATGTAATTTTGTATATGAGTTGTAATTGTATGTAGTTATGCTTGTATTGTGTTTTGTTGTATAAAAGAAAAATTTAAAGCTATTTCCGAAAAACATAGAAAATTGGGAGGAATCCCATTAAATAGGACTAGAAGGGAAAATTTTCCGGAAAATAAATTAAAGGGGAGAGTCAGAAAGCAGAAATACAGACTTTCTGAAAAATCAAATAAATTGGAAAAGAAATTTTGAAAAATTTAGGCATTTAAATTAAAGTTCTGAGAATGGTATTTATAAAAGCTCATTTTTCTGTATTTACATTCATCTAAACAATTAAGATATGTCTTCCTCAAAAACTGTTTCAATGCTTTTTGCTACCTTTGTTTTTGTTATTGTTCTGTCGGATCGTTAAATCTTGTTGAATCTACTACTAGAATAATTGAAGTTGGACGGGGCAAACACAAATTGGAGGGTGATAATGTGATTCTGAGTGAGCGTTCGAGGATTGCTGAAAGGGAGGACACGAAAGACTACAACATTCTATCACCGGAAGAATCGTGTGATTTGCACATCGATTACAATAACAATATGTAAATTAAATTATTAATTTATATTCATAAAAAATATTTTCAGAATTGTGTACTTTCAGGAAGATGGAGATTGTATTGTGGACTTTATTGTTGAAGATTCGGATATTTTAAACTTTTTCGATACTTCATATACCGTTGAATTCACTATGGTATTGTATAATTACAACGATTCATTATCTAAGTGTTTAGCTAATTGTTCTGATTTTGAATTAATGAATACAAATATGTATGTCCATTACTAATATTAGGGTTGCCAGCTCGCTCTACCCGAAACTCGAAAGATCGAGCGAGTCGACTCGAAAAGCTCGAAACCGAATCGAAAAAAACCAAGCTCGTAAAACTCGAAAACGAACCGAATTTTAAAAAATTACGCTCGAAAAATATGCACCGAACGTAGGCTCGAACCTAAAACGGCAACCCTAACTAATATATTTTCAATTTAAAAATATTTTTATTTCAGCCTCACTCTTGCTTTTAACGATAATGATATGCCATTGGGTGTATATCACATAGGAAGTTGTATTCGTGAAGAGGAGAAGGTGTATTCGTTAGTAGTTGGGTCATTTCGAGGTAAATTCTGAATTTGCTTTAAATTTAATTTAAAAATTTAAAGCTGTCAGCTGTTCATATTCTTCTTTATGTTTCAAACACAAAATCGACATCTCTCAAGAATTTATTAAACTCAATTTTCATATGAACACATTTCCTCATCTAATTGAAGAGGAAAAGTCCATCTATTGTTATCCACATTTAGAGACAGATCAACGTTCAGAAGAATTAATTACTGTGAAGGCTTGGAAAATTATAAATGTTTGGGATAATAGCGATGAAAGTTTAATTGGCAAACGATTAATTGTTTTACATTTATTGCCCAATTATATATTCCCTTCTTGCATAAAAAATGGGACAATTAACGAAGAAGAGAAGATGGATTTCCCAATATGTTCTTTTGCAATTGAATTTGTAAGTTTAGTTCCTAACCTAATATAGTCAGATCTCACTATAGAATGCCCCAATCCCTAAGCGATACCATCCAATTTAGTTTACATTATAAGGTACAATTTTTCGGCTAAGTGTGAAGCATATAGCTAGGTGGCGTGTTGTAATAGCTAACACGTCAGTCCGGTCTACTGAAGATGCCGGTTCGCTCCCAGCCGCCGAATAACCTTTTGCACTAGCTGAAGGAGAGAAATAGGTATAGCCCAGCTGCTTTACTTAATGATGTAATTTTATAGAGAGTTTTGACTGCAATTTTTTTTTAATTTTTATTTTTTAGTCTGGTGAAAAATATAAAATTTTAACAACACAATATAAACCTCGAAAAAATACAAGAACAACAACATCAACACCTTTTAACAACAAAATATTTACTACAACATTAAATCCAGAAAACAATTCAGAAACAATATCAACAAAAACTTTAGACATTTCCGAAAATATACTTATGTAAGTTGTGTTTATTTCTACTGCAAGAGCATATGACACTCCCTGTCCATCTCTAATCATAATTAGTTTGGTATCAGCCGGTTTGGGAGACAAGTCGGATAATGTCAAAATTTACTAGATACGGTTTCCATGAGTATAGTAGGTATAATAAGACTTGCAATAGATGGGTTGTGGTAGATCGGAGTGTTACCTTCTTGTACATATTTAAAATAAAAAATTTTTTTCTTTTTTAGTCTCTTAATTTGTGTTGCAATTGGTTATTATTTAATTTACCTCAATAAAAAAGACAAACCAGAAGACGAATTCAAAAGCGATTTAAGTATAAATCCAGTAGTTATTGTAGCTGAAGATGAAGGTTTGGATGTTGATAAAACACAAGAAGATGAAGAAACAAGTAGTGATAATGAAAATTCTGAGGAAGTTGAAATTGTTAGTGAGGGAACTAGTAATAGTTTAATGGTTGATAAAACACAAAGAGAAGAAGAAGAAGAAAAAGAAGAAGAGGAAAAACTAAAGGAGGATAAGAAGGATTTTGTTTTACAAATTGAAAAGAATGAAGAGGATGAAAATATTGTTAAAGTATAAATATATAGGTGATTATTGTTAATTTATGTACATATGTATGTAGTATTAAGGCGTTAATATACATATGTTTGTATAATGTTTTTATAAATATTTAATAGCAATTGTTCCTTTTTTAGGGAATTCGTTTTTGGTTTTATATATATATGGATAGTGAAAGTGATAAAGCACCGCTTTTATCACCAGAACAACTTGAACAAATTTCTCGTAATGTGGTTCAACTTCTTACACCAATAATCGAGACAACAATTAAAACTCTTTTTCAACAATTAAATCAGCAAACTAGCAACAGTCAACAAACTTTTGAACTCAAACAGCAAACATTAAGATGGGGATGTCCCCCCAATCTAATGCCACCAAAAATTCAACAAGCTGCTACAACAATTGAACACCTTCATCAGCCTATATTCGATGAAAAACTCAAGGAACTTTATGAAAAGAAGAAATTCTACGCAGTAATCGAAAGATTTCCTGAATTAGAAAACGAAGAAGAAGACATTAAAGCTATAGAAAAAAACGTTCAGATGGTGGTAAATGACAAAAATTTCAAGGATATTAAGACTTTCGAAGTAAAAAGGCACGGAATTAAGAAGAAAAATAATTACAACCGCATCATCAAAGTAAAATTTTCGACTCCTTCTGCAGCACATTCTTTTATCAATCAATATAGAGCCATACACCAACCTAAATTAGGTGGGCATAGTCCATTCGCAAGAAGGGACTTGACCCCTCCTGAACTACAACTACAAAACTTCCTTAAACAGCAGGTTAAGGAAATCAATCAAAAACATGGAAATGGCACTGCATGTTACCGTAATCTTAAAATTTATTATAAAAAGAAAGTGAACTTGGACTAGGATTTAGGGACCTCACAGAAAAATATTCAAAAAAATATAAGCAAATTTAAAAATTTTAAATGCCTTCTTCTAAATATACGCTCCATTAATTCAGATAAAATCGCATATAAATTATTTGAGCTAGAAACTTATCTAAATAAAAACAATATTTATCTCACATTTTTATGTGAAACCTGGCTAAATGATCAAATATCCAGCGAAACTCTTTTAATCTCCGATAACTATAAATTCTTAAGAGTAGATAGAGTTAAAGCTAGAGGCGGAGGTGTAGGTGTATTTTATAGGAAGGAACTAAAAATCGTAACTTTACCAAACCTTTCAGTATCAGAATTTAATCATGAACTACTAACTTTTGATATTTACTCAGAATTTAAAAGAATTAGATTCCATTTAATATATAGGCCGCCTAATACTAAATTAACCGATGATAAAAAATTTTGGCGTCTAATAAAGCAAAAATATAAAAACGAAGTTTCAACTATCATATTAGGGGACTTAAACTATCCGAAAATTAATTGGCAGGAGTTTGCATTTCCTAAAGATAAACAGAGCTTATATTTTTACAATACTATGAATGAACTAAATCTAAATCAGATAATAAAGGGAGCAACAATGTACAATAATGACCATACACTAGACCTGGTTCTCCAAAACAAACAATTAGTCGAAAACTATAAAATTGAGAGTAATTTAATTTTAAGTGATCACAAACCTATAGTATTCGAGTTAGTCTTCCCAATTGAAAAAATAACATCTAGGGAAAAAAGGAAAGTATTATTATTTAAAAAAGGAAAATATAAGGCAATCAATTGGTATCTAGCACAATATGACTGGTATAACTTATTAAATAATAAAAATCCTTCAGAAATAACTGAAATACTAAATAACATAATGACACAAGCAATACAAAAATTCGTACCTTTTAAAAAATTTGGTGAAAAAATACCCATAAAATACCCCAAAGAAATTAGAGAAACCATCAAACAAAAGTCCCTTGAATGGAAAAAGTTAAAATTAGGAGAAATTAGCCGGGATGAATATAAAAGTTTCGAAATTAAATGTAAATTGAAAACTCAAAAATATAGAAACGATTATCTATCAAAAAAGATAGGATCAGGCCACATAGGGGAGATACATAAATTAATTAAAAGGAAAAAATTTAACTTCTCTGGTATACCAATACTTAAAGAATCTGAGGAAAGTGAACCTATAGTATATGACACTGACAAAGCTAGAAAATTTAAAACTATTTTCGAAGAAGTCGTTAGCGGAGATACAAGCCATAAACATGTAAGCTTTGATGCTGAAGATGCATATAGGGGTGGTGAAAATATTTTTGAACCATATATTATAGAAAAATTACTCAAAAAGCTCCCAAATAAATTGTCTCACAGCCCTGAAATTGCTAATCAATATTTTCTTAAAAAATGTGCTACACCACTAGCTCTTCCTCTATCAATCTTATTTGAGAAGACATTTAAGACAGGAATTGTTCCTGAATTATGGAAAATGGCACATATTCTGCCTATATTTAAAAAAAATGGTTCATTGAATGACCCTACAAATTATAGACCAATTGCTTTAACATCCCCTACTTGTAGAGTTTTTGAGCGCATTATAGCAAATAATATCTTAGAACACCTTAACAAACAAAAATTAATCGCAGAAGAGCAATTTGGATTTTTACCTAAAAGCTCTTGTACACTTCAAATCTTGTCATCGATGCAAGACTGGTATAGTTCACTTGACAGGAAAATAGGTACAGATGTTATATATTTTGACTTTGAGAAAGCCTTTGATAAAGTAAACCACGAAATACTAATTAGAAAATTGCAAGAATTAAAAATAGATCGATTAATAATTCAATGGGTAGCGAATTTTCTCTCAAATCGATCACATAGTGTAAAAATAGAAGAACATTTTTCCGAACCGTTTATCCCAAAAACAGGAGTCCCACAAGGGACAGTCTTAGGTCCATTACTTTTCTTAATTTATATAAATGACCTTCCAAAATATATTCCACAAAATGTTAAAGTAAAACTTTATGCGGACGATTTTAAGATTTATTCAGAAATTAAGACGGAAAAGGACTGTATAGAGTTACAGGGGGCTATAGACAATGCGTGTAAATGGGCAGAAATGAATCAACTTAAATTCTCTATAGCAAAAGTAAAGGTTTTAAAAATATACAACAAAATTAAGTTTAACTATGAGATAAATGGTAAAAAAATCGAAGAGGTTAATAACATAAGAGATCTAGGGATATACATAGATAACAAGCTAAAGTTTGATCATCATATATCAAAAATTACTAAATCCTCATTTATAAGAATTAACAATATCCTAGGAATATTACCAAAAACATTACCAATAGAAACATATGTAAAGGCATTCAAAACATACGTAAGACCAATTATGGAGTATTCCACCGAAAATTTTAGCCCCAAATTAGAATATCTTAATAAACAATTAGAAAGACCACAAAAAAGCTTTACAAGGAGAATTTTAAGATATAAATACAAATACCAGAAAATAGAATATAACGAAAGACTAAAAAGATGCAAACTTCTTCCCTCTAATCTCCGTCGTATAAAAACTGATCTTATGACAACCTACAAAATAATCATGGGTTTCTATAAAATAAATCCAGAAAAAATATTTTCAAAACCTAATAGAATTAATCCGCGCTTACATAAATATCAGCTATTTAAAAAGCAAGCCAAAAATAATCATTTCTTTTCACATAGAGTCATAGATAGATGGAATAAACTTCCAAAAAAAGAAATTGAAAAAATCAATACTATACCGCAATTTAAAAAATTTTTAGACAAAATATTAACTACAGAAGATTATAATTTATGATTATGAATTAATGGAGTGTACTAACATAAAATCCTAAGCCAAATGTTCACTTTCTTATCAAAACAAATTTACTTAACATTTAAATAAAATTACCTATTTTCAATACAAATATTTTTTATATACCTAAATATACCTACATATATTTTTTTTATAACATTTTAATTTCATACATTTAATTTATTTTTTTTCTGTGGAGTCCATTATTTATTTAAATTTTTTTTTCTAACTTATCATTTATTTAAAAATCCGTCATATTGTATTTGATTTTTTTTGTACGTTACCTCTCCATAAGTGATCCCTGTGGATCCAGGAGTTTTTATTTTATTGTTTCACACTTATTTATTTGTGTTCGATAAAGAAAAAAAAAATGTTCTTTAAAACTCAAAACAAGTTTTTACAATGTGTCTTCAATCAGAATTAGAAAATTTATTTCCCGGTCTCTGAATAAAATTTCTCCCTAGAATGACCCCGATTTACTTAATCAACTGATTTCTTCAGTCCAAACAAGTTGAATAGATTCGACTGTATATTCTAATTTTTACCTAATTTTAAAAATTTTCTGTAAATTATTTTAATATTTCTGACTCTATTTTCTACTATATATTTTCTCTAATTTTTATTTTAAAAATTAATGGCAGAATCCCCAAACTTTCTAAAAAACAAAGCTTTTTATTATTTTTTATTAGCTTATTTTAAGGCAATCTTTTCTTTTGCCATTTTCTTAAGAATTTCTGCTTCACTGACACCCCCGCATTTTTTAGCGTGTTGTAAATACATTTTCAACACATTTTTTATATATTTGTATGTACAAATATATTTTTTTATTAAATAATTATTAAAATATTTTATTAATTTTTTAAATAAATTTTTTTGATTTAAATAATTAAAATATTTTATAAAGGAAAATGAATTTTTATCAGTATCAGTTTTTATTTAAATTATTTCTAAACCCTTTAAATAAATAGATTACCGTATATACTCTATTAATTACCCTCCCTCAAATAATTACCCCACCTTTATTAGTTACCCCCTCCAGCAATAGTCCGGGTTTTCCAAATTCGGGTTTTTTCCGATTTCCAGATTTTTTCCGGACCGGATTAATCCGGAAAAATGCGGCCGGATCCGGTTTGGCTTTAGTTGCAAATCCGGATCCGGTTCCGGTAAAATCGATTTTGCCGGGCACTAATAATTACCCAGGGTAATTAATACCCAGGGTAATATAATAATTTACTTATAATTATACTTAAGATTTTTTTGGAAACTTTTTTTTATTAAAAATTTTTTCTATTATTTTTTAACTTTTATATATCAATATTTAATTTTTAAACTTTAATATTTTTTTCTCAATTTATAACCTTATTTCTTTTTATTATTTATTCTTCTTTTAAGAATTTTTTAAAAGGTTTATTCTTCTTTAAATAAGGATACATCATAATAAAATAAATTCCTAAAATTGAGTTTGTACAAAAATAGAAAAAGAATGATTTTTTTCTTAAAAATTTAAATATTTCTTTCAAAGACTTCTTTGTGTTTTTGACTTTTAAAATAAATTTTTTTTATATTTTTTTTAATTTCCCAATTAAAATAATTTTAATTAATTAACACATTCTTTGTTCTTTTAAAGGAACAAAAATTTCAATTCTTTTTCTTTCATTAAAAATAAAAAAATATTTTATTTAAAACCATATGTTTCTTTTTAATTTATATCAAACAATTG